GATACAGAGGATCCAACACAAACATTCAGTCTTTAACCACAGGTCACAAAAGCCAAAGAAAAAGGTCTTTTATTTGCCTATTTGAAAGAAAACAAGACTATAAGGAGAAGGTAAGCAGCAAATCTCTTTGTAACAATGTCATTGTCTCTCTGTATCAAGCAAAGATCACCAGAGAAAGGGCAAAATTAAATCAACTTAAATGTGACGTAAATTATACCATACATTCACACTTTGCAAATAAGAGAAAAAACTGCCAAAATCCTTGAAATCTTCAAATCTGCTGTGTGTTCAGTCTTGACCAATGTTTCCAAATACTGGGAGCACTGATGGGAGTAAAATTCACTAATAATGATGCAGCATGCTCCTTTGGGCTAGGCATATGCAGAATACTGTAATGCAAGAGTTCTTGCAGAAAAAAGAAAGTTTAGAGCCTTCAAACTACAAAAAAGGAAGCAAAATTATCCATTAAACTCTTCCAAAGCTTGTGCAAGTCTCTTCAGGATCAATAGGAATTCTCATTCCACATGTCTGCCAAAGAAGTGCAACAACTGATGGCCATAAAATTAATTCCATCCAGTTATCATCATGGGAACACTTGCTGTATTCTGATTATATTATATACAATATTGCTGATTGTGCTGCTTTCAAACTCATGAAACAGGATAGAAAACATCTGTGCAATGTGAGTACAGAAACTCATACAATGCCTAATGAAAACTCAAAGCCAATCATCCACTGCACATCTGCCAGTAAAACTCCTGAAGATAACCAAAGTTCTGCATTCAATCTTGCAAAAATGTTTATTTAGATACCCACTTACACAGAGGTATGGCAGCTCCAAATCTACACCGCTAGAAGACTGATCAAAAAGAGTGTAGCACGAAAATTTACACTCATGAAAACTTTGATGAGAACTATCAAACGTGTAGCTCAGGTCTCAAAAATAATTCACAATACACTTAACGTTGGAAAGAAAAATATACTTGCTTGAAACATCTGCAACAAAGGGGCATATACACTTTTTTACATATAAAAAGTAAATTTTATAAATTACATGCAAAGCCTGAAAGGGTTGTGGAGATAAGATTTAAATGTATCCCTGCCAGGTGGGAAGGAATCACCACTGAGGACGCTGTACAGTACAGAGTACTGTCCCAGCCTATTGCTTGAGGAATGCTATGGGATCTAAACACGAGCTACAGATACGGGAAGTTTTTCTGTATGTACTTTTCAAGTGTCTATGTTGTTGAGGCCTCAGATAAGGCACTGTACCTACATCAACAACCCTTACTGTTCCTTTTGTTCCCAAAGCAATTAAAAAGAGGGATAAAGTTTACAGAAGAAAACAACAATAACTAAGACGTTTTCTCATATACATTTTCTCTAATCTACAGAACGCAACTGCCATAAATTTTATACTCTTCTGAATGAGAAAGTAAATCAAACATTCTTGTACCCCAGAAGCATTAAAGCACCATCATGGCATGGCAATGCATCTAACAAAAACTATGACAGTCTGTCCAGCTCTTCACCTACTGCACCAATTACGAAAGCATGGGGTTACACTATGAAAAAAACCTCTAAAATTCAAAAATTATGAATACACATAAATTTAAAGAACGTATTTTTTCTTAAAACAAAGCATTTGCTTAAAGAACATCAAAAAGGAAAAAACAGTAGTCTCACTATGGTTTGTATTTTAGATTTTTACATTTATTTTCCTTCTATGTCAGTTCTCAAAGCTGACAAATACTGAAAAACAGAGCAGGTTCTTAAAAAAGACATCCTAAAAAATTATCATTCAGACAATTATATTTTCAGTCAAATAACATACAGTAAACTCTATTCACTCAATTCCAGTCACAAAGACCCTGCTATTCCCAATGTATTCCTACAAAATGCTGCATTTGGGCAGCTCCTTTTAATTGACGCATCAGAAGCTGCTATTTTTCAAAATGTGGTGATCTCTCTGAAATGGATACAAACGAGCTTCATGGCCAAGTACAGCTTCAGGTCAGAAACATTTCATCGCACACCACAAGGCTGCCATTCAGGGCACATTAAGAAATGACACAGAAATGAGCTTCTGACAACGATTCCTAAAGGACACTGTGCCCTTGGGAAAGCAAAAATTGCCACATGAGACTAAGGAGACACAAAGTTTTCTGCAATCAGAATATCCTCAGTAGGAGAATGAAGGAAAGGGAAGAAGAATTGTGCTTGATTGAAAAAAAGACAGGAAACAAAATTACATGGTTTAACACTAAGATTGATCAAACGACTGCAGGGAGACTAACGAGAGAAAAGAAGGGTGGAATTTAGACTTCATACAACAGTACTGGTACCCTGATCAATGGATTTAAACACAAAAAAGAGAATATTAAAATTCCAGAACTAAGCTCACAAAAAGCCCCCAGAACCAGTCCCCCAAACATCAGGCTTTTAAATAGCCTGGAAAAGATGCGGATTGATGAATCTACTTTGAAATTAGTACTCAACACAATGACAAAAGGGAAAAAATTGATCTGTTTGAACTGAAGTTGCTTTATTTAACAGGGAGACCTATTTCTTAAAATAAGTTCCCATAGTTACCATAAGCTGTGTTTCATAGGTTTGATGTTGACCTAAGGCACCTTCTTCTAAGTCTTTCATATAGGATTTTTTCAAAAGGTTTGAAATACATGAGCTTCTAGCTTAAGCTCTACAGTGACTTTATAATGAAATTACGTTTTGTTACATGCTTAAAATAATCAATTTCTAGAGCTCAGATTCATCTCAGTTTTCATCCCTATATTGTCAAAACGCATGAAATGATTTTTTTTTTTCAAACACAAAACTACTTACTCCCTGAAAATAATTTCTGTGATAAAGAGAGAGCATAGACTCCTGAGCCCTTCCCCACTCCTTGAATCTTTCAGCTGGTATCACAGGAAAAACCCCAAGCACTGAAGAGAGAAAGACAGACTACAAGTCCCAAAGATGCACCACAAATCACACTCACATCAAGTTAACCGGCTGCTCGCTCTTCAAGCACCTACACTGGCAAGGGTCCTTCCTGGAATGAGCTAGCAGTTAATTTCTCACCTAAATAAATACAGGGTAATGATCAACCAGAAATTACCTGCATTTTTCCTGTTTTGTCTAGGTCTGACCAAATGTAATCAGCTTACAATTACACTAAGTAGCTTGCTTAGCAATCTATTTATAAAACTGATTAGATGCTGCTAAGCAGAGCAGGCAATATTTTAACACTTTATTTTGATGTTGAAAGCAGTGGCTAGGAGAAAGGGAGCAAGGATGGCAGAGAACAAAAAATCATTCAGAAAAATGTAGAAAGATAATTATATGGGACCAATTCTGTTGCTTTATATGCATTTTAAAATTGTGTTACTTGATTAAATAGCACATATTTAGAATTTTGGATTCATTACTCTTAGATATGTAGATAACTCAAGTGGGTCTGAACAAGTGAATATTCAGCCATACTGACTGCTGTTGATTCTTCTTGGAGAGAGAATATGGAATTGCCCTGACCTGGGAAAGAGGCAATCCAGGCTGCAGGAAAATTACAGACCATTTGTGAGGTTAAGACAACTGAACAGGATGTGAAAAACTAAACGAACATGACATGAGAAATTGCCAGATGTGACAGATAAAGTAATAAGATACTGACAAAAGCCACAGATAGGACCATGAGGGATGACTGGATTTCACAAGTGTTTAAAGGTGAGTTAGATAAGAAACAGCCAAATTTCACAGAAAACTGAAGGGGGATCTTTAAGGTATTGGAGACCTTTTGGGAGGTAGAACCTGCAACATCAGTATTCCTTCAATAACTGGACCTCTAACACCAGAGAAGCCTAAGATTCCCTACATAATAACTGAGAACCACTAGTGAAAAAATAATCAGGGGTGAATAGATTCTTTGGGAAGAGACTTGGATTTTAAAAAAACATTCAAATAAAAAGAGCTACAAGAATGGCAAGGAGGGTGAACACACACAAGCTGAGGAAAATGTGGCCCCTGCTGTCTGGCACAGTCCCACCTTCAATCACCACATCCTCATCAGAACTGTGAGAACCACTTGTTCTGACCTTACCACATGTATCAAACTTGCTTCCACAATCAAGGAGGCAAGGAGAGTGCCAGGCTGCTTTCCCTGGCTAACAGCAGGACTCCTGCCTGGACACATCAAGTAACCTGGTTATCCCCATGTCAGTTCAACATCCACATCCACCCACCCCTCCCTAATAGGCTGTCAGACACTGTCTTTGACAAACTGCTTCAATTCAACTCCTCATTTCCTAATTTATATAATAAATGTAATACTGCTCTTCTTATCTCCTTTTATTAGGTTATTTTTGGCAGTGGCAGTAACAAAAATCAAGGAAGTCAACAGTTATTTAAGGGCTTCATATCTTTCTCTTGCTACTTTATCTTTTAGGCTAACCTGAAGCTCACGAGTTCAAAGTTCTGAATTTTCATACATACTGCTGTAAGTTGAACTCTGATTCCAAGAATTAATGCCCTGCTTTTACAAGTAAGAGAATGGCAGGAGATTAATACCTTTCATACAGAGTAAAAGGCACTTATAGGATTGGATACTGATAGTACTGAAAGGAAAGCAGAGGAAAATTCAGTTCCTAACCTGATGGTACTTGGGAAAAAAAAAAAAAGGAATCCATAAACCAGGGCAAGGGATTAAAAGAAACAACAGTTTATCTGTGCTTATTAACAACAGCCCTTATTCCAATTCTTTGTGGAGAATAATAAACATGACTTAATCTTAACAACAATGTTGTGATAATTTTCCAAACACATGTACTCTTTGTTCATCACTAAGACATTCAATGGATCTGCTACAAATTTGCAACGTCCTGTCAAAGACTACTGTTTCTTTAGAAGATGAAAATAAAAGGGATAATATTACATGGGGGGGGATAATTACAAAAGGCTTATATTGTATGCTAATTTATATTTATAACAAGTGCTTTATTTACCTTTTTGTTTTCTTGTAGTTTTCCAGCTGTAATGTCTGCATACATTTGTACCTTTCCAATTCACACTGTTCACATAGTTCCTCAAGACACAACAGATGATTCTCCATTTCCTCAAAGTTTGCTTCTAGCTGGGCTGTAAGAAAGACTTGTATGAATATCTAACTGCATCAATGGACAGACAACTCACCTGAACAGAAACAGGATTTCATAAAGGTAAATAATTAACATGGTAATAATTACACACATATAAAAGACAAACAAATCTCAGCCCAAATCCCATAGTGAAGAGTGGCAGCAGAGCCACGTTAAAGGGAGATCTACCCAAGGTTCCCTTGTAGTAAGGTGCTGAACAATTCTATTTGTCCCAGCATTGTGGTGACACATGATCCCGGCCTGTTTTTGAGGAAGAGAAGCACTCAGAACTCATATTTTTCTTTCTGGAGCAGACTGCCAGTTTAGCATTTCCTGCACAGTACCAATCCAAGGAATAAATCTGTGCTGGCCAAAGCCAGGTCAAATATTCATTTTTTCAAATGAAACAAAAATAAATCATACAGGGAGAATTTTAACTTTCACATGATGCCATGGTAATATACAACAACAGATATTTATGTCTCTGAAGACGGACCCTTTACTGATAAGCTAAATATAGAGATGTACCTATTTTACATACACATGTAAATTTTACAATTAAATCTACCCATTTTACATACATATCCCTTAATATTTTCTTTAAACATAATTGCTCAGTCTCAGCTTCAAATAGATCTTGTCTGTGACATGTCCTGAGAAAAATTATCTCATCTCATAGCTCATAATGCTTTGAGTAGAAATTTGGATTAGACAATTCCTGAGGTCCCTCCTCATCTGAATTAGCCCATGTGAACCTTGTATCAAAGAATCACTTTCCCTGAAGGTGATTAATGCTAAATTTCATGTCTCTCCTCAGGATCTCACAGTGGAAAATATATTTTCCCAAACCCTAACCAGCTGGTCACTCTGGGATGAAACTGTGTGAACTACAGGAATATTATTCATCTTTTTGCCAGGCCTTCTCCTATACCACAGGGAAGGTAAATTCAGGAGCAAGAATAATTCACATTTTTACAAACAAATAGCAGCCAGAGTTAATGCTCAAAAAAAGGAAACAGTTGAGTTAAAGCTCAAAAAAAAGAAACAGGAAGCTGAAGGCATCAGCCAAATCCTCCATTCTGGCTTGGCCGTTCTACTTGAGGCCTATACTGGACAATAAATAATTTCAGCTTCCTTAGCCATTGCTTCATTATAAAGAGCCATCCTTGTGGTTCCTCTACAAAAGCAGAGGTTAAGACTTTATAAGCAAATTTCCTAGGATGCATATTCATATGTTCAGCTTCACTTCACACCATTTTTTTAGCCCCTAACAAAGAAGATCCACAACAGGAAAGGGAAACATGAATAATATAATCAGTAAAAATTTCCCTAAATTATTTTTCTGTATACAGATCACTGAGGGGAAGTGGGAGGGATTGGCAAAAAACAACAAAAAATAAAGAAAGGCAATTGACAATTAATGCAAAAACAAGTTTGAGGGGAAAAAAAATGTTTTCAGCTCTACATATTGTGATGTGGAACATTCATCGCTTACCACATACTCAATTTTCTCTCACAAAATCCAGATGTATTCAAAGCGTAATATCATGATTACAATTATGATTGGTAGGCCCTTTTTCTTTAGGAAATAGACTTCTCTGAGTGCATTAAAATCCAAATACCTGTATTGTGCTAACTTGCTTTTCAGAATAATTGCTCCCTTATTAATCTGCAAAATTCTCAAACACAGCAGGACTGAAAATAATTTACTAAGGTACCTATCAACCACTGTTTTTTCCACTTAAAAATGCCTACCACCTGCTTTGTTGTATTTGCTGTTGAAATAATATTAAAAGACAACAACAAAGAATAGGAAAATAAAGAGGATGAAAGAAAGTGAATTCTAGAGAGCAACTGATTTCCAGCACTTGCACTTGAGCAGCCTCTAGCGGGAACTGCAGAAAACACTGCGCTCCTGAAGAAGAGAAATGGACACCAGAGATCTCTCCAGGAGGCAACAATCCTGCTTTACTGCAACAGAGGTTTCAGAAGTTTTTTTCCTATCTGAAGGGAAAGAAAAATTGCTTTTCACAAAAAAATTGAAGACAAGCTCCGTTACAGCAGCTACAGCTGAGAATTAACATCTCTCTTACCCAAAAGAGAATACATGCACTGTGCATACAAAGGCAGTGCCAAACAAAACTATAGATTTAATTAATTTGAAACTTAGGCTGTGAAAAATGCATCTCCTCTAAATCTTTTTCAGATTTTAAAAAACACATTTACCTTTAGATTAAGACTTTTCATATACAGCAATATGCCACACTTGGTAGCAACAGTATTTTTTTATTAGACAGCTAAAAAAGCCAAAAACCTACTTCTTTGTGTCACATCACTCCAATTACAACAGTTTGGGCTGTATTTCTTACATTACCACAAGCATAACAACAGTATTTGAAACTTTAATTCTTAATTTTCATTCTTTTGAAGTATGTTTAAAGTTTGGTCAGGTGACATTACACTGTATAATCTTCTATCAGCATACACTGTTTTCCATGGTTTACCAGCTATCAGATATTAAAGTATTTATCTAGAACTCAATAACCACAATTTATTTTTTTTTTATTCAGGAAACACCTTCTTTCTAAACTGTACCTAATTTAAATGTACCACACAACTTTTCTAACTGAAACCTATGTTATCTGTAGTTCTGTATGAGTACAAAATTTGTTAGAATAGCTACATCACAGCTGTATGTCAGAAAATAGGTTTCCACTAACTTTAGATGTAGCTTTCCTGCACTGTCCCAGCCATTCAAACAACAGAAACCATGCAGGAGTATTAAAGACATTTCTACAAAGATCATTTATTTTCTATCTAAAAGGGAAAAAGCAAAAAGAATGGAAGCAATTATATCAAAGATGGTCTCTATACCGCTAGGCCACACAGAGATTACAAGGGCAAGGATTATTAAAAGCTTAAAATGAGCAGTGAAAGACATATAAGACCAGGAAGAGCTCAATTCAGCTGCAAAATAAATTAAAAAAAAAAAAAAGGAAAAACTTTCTATAATTACAGTTGTACTAGTGCACAATTTTTATCTGTTTTCGCAGAAAGGATCTTAAACCCAGCTAGTATTATACCACTTACATGAAGTTAGAGCAGCTTCTTTGCTGAAACTACATAGCAGGTACACTAGGATCCTTTTCCTTGTGTACTCAATCCTCAGGCACTTCCAAGTTTACAGCACCAAACTGTATGCCTTTTACACATATATATCCCTACCTAATACAACAACCCCCTCTGCTGAAGTGTTGTGCCCTGGAGCCTATGGAGAAAAACTCCCTGTTGAACACAGATGTCTTTACACAGTATTATTCAAATTTTCTGGTTTTGCATAAATCTTCCCAATATCTTCTCAGATTTTTTCAGTAAAAGATAAATGCAAATTCTGAAAAAAATTAGACGAATTTTGCAAAGCTAGAGAATGGCAACTTTCATACTTGACACACAATCTGAAATAAAAAAAAGACTGACCTTTTGCTCAAGATATAAACAAGGATGCTTCTCCTAAGCAGTGCAAAACGTTCTGTTTCCCCAACAAATTTTCACACCCATCTAGCCCTCACTTAAAAAAAAAAATCCTAAAAACTAAGAGGCAAAGGCTTTTATCTCTGTGACTACATGCCCAGCCTTATTTTCTTTGCAGTCCCACAAGGAAAACATTTTCAATGTTGGATCTGTCACCTATATACAAGAGCAGTCTTTCTGAAACCAGTATCAAGCTGATCTTTAAAAGGGAAAAAAAAAAAAAAGGAAGGGAGAAAAACTGGATTTGCATTAATGTTTGTGTGTATGGATTTGCTGAAACCAAAACCGATGTTTGAGCAAAATGCCACTGCTCAAACATAAAAACACATTTCATACTAAGTATGCTGATATCAGCGAGCAGGTATTTGCTACAACATCTCAACCAAAAACTGGCTTAAGTGATGATTCCAATTCTGCACTCTGAAAGGGCAATAACTCTCCTTTCCACCTTTACATGAGAGTAACTTTTTTCTTCAAAATTCTCAGTAGCAGCTACAAGACATTGCATAATGCAATAAATTTATCAAATGAAGCCACAGATTTTCTACTTCAAGTGAGGGATGACTGATAATGTGAATACCTAAGCTAAAGAACTTTATAAAATTGCTAATGAAAACGTGTCCTGTAATACATAGCAAAAGCTGAAGAATCTGTACATGAGTCATACCAATTTTAAGTAGGTCACTAAAAAGGTTCATTTCCATTATCTGAAATTTCTTTCACTGAAAGCAGCCAGGGTCCCCTACTTAATTTCAAAATTGAAGCATTAATACATTTATTAGAAGCATATCATGTCAGAACAACCAACTATTTTGTTGAAATGATGAAGGTTAGCCAAATTACATCTTGAGCGCACAACTCAGCACTTCATGATTTTATTTTAATTTTTTTACAGAATATTTTACTCATTCAAAATTTACAGTCAGAGAAATAGTCATTTCTTGAAAAGCTGAATACAGTTTATATTTATATGAAGCAATTATTTAAGAGTTATAAAAACTAAAAACAGTGAGCAGAATACTGCAGTAAAGTTCTGTTAAATCACCTTCAGAAGGTTAGATGTTGAATTTGGTACAAATTACATCTATCTCTTCAAACAGACTCCATAAAAATATTAGAAGAAAAAATAAAACCCAAAACACAGTTGTTAGGACAAACTAATGAGAAATTTTAGATAAATTACTTAAAATCTGACACAAAAGGTAAAGCTTGGTTTGGTTTGGTTCAAGGTTTGGTACAAATCCCAGAACCTTAGCAGTACATGTCAAAATTCATTACCTTCCCTGAGCTGGCTGCTGAATGCTTCCTTAAATCCTACTTTTGCAGTATCAAAAAATATCTAGAGACTTACCTATCCAATAAATTCTACAATCAGAGTGAGATTAATTCTAGTTCATAAAACTGTATTAGGAATCAGAAAGCAGCCCAAATTCATCAGGATTTTACTGCATTTGCAGCATTATGAACTATAAAGGCAATTTCATTAGCTTTCTATTACTTTGTTTATCTTTGGGCTACCAGTGGACTGCACGGTAATATTAAACGCAGTATTTTAATAAATCATTATTTGAACTTTTATTTCCTTAGAAATATTTTTTTTTCAAACAGGCAGTATTAAATGGTTAGCACAGATGATAAAGCCTCATTAAACAAGATCATATAAGAAAATTGTAATAAAAAGTAGAATATATTCCCTGCTTCAGGAATAAATAGCAAAGTTATTACCAGCCCACCTAGGAACAAAAGCTGATTTGTGCATGACCACTGACCATGGCAGAATGAGAAATTAGCCCTTGAAGACAGAAAAGAACCCTCCTTTTCTTCACATTGCGTCAGCACGAAAATCCAGCCCACCCCACAAAAAACCAGAGGAATTTCTGGTTTTGCAATCACATGAGGAATTTCTGCATTACATCCCAGCAGCTGTAAGAAAGGGAAGCGCAGGCACAGTCCCTGGGGAACTTAGCTACCTAAAATCTATGTGCAGACAGAAGTTTTGCGAAGCTTTAATTTGATGTACCCCCTATGGATTCTCATGGAAGCATCAAGAAACGTACTATGGACAGACAGGGCTGCTGCTTGCCAAACGCTGCCTGCCCATTTCAAGGCTCAGCAACAGTAGAGATTTTCAGAGACCAAGAGTCCTCAACATTTTTTCCTAATTTAATTTTCAACAGCTTTGTCTGAGAGGTTCCAGAAATAGTCCACCAAAGCATTTATGTTTTCATCTTTTTAATAAAATGAACAGATTAACCTTTGGTAAAGTTTTAAAAATTGCAACCCACCTAACAAACATGAGGTGTTTGCTAATAGGCAGCATTAATATTCACATATAGAAAAGCTTAATATCACTTCAGAATATCTTAACCCTGTAAATCAATCCAAATTATGGAAGTTACCTTTGGAACCAACAACTATTCAAAACCAAAGGTTTTTGCCTTGAAAGTGTCCCTAGCCAAGTAAATTCCTCCCCCCCATCCCACCCCAAATGATAAGTTTAAACATTATTATGTAAAATTACACAGAATCCAAAAGAAGCAGCTATATAAATTAGCATTTATACTATCAAAAAATCTTAACAATTTAATAAGATTTCAAGAATAGCATTTTTCACCCATTCAAACATTTGTCAATTTTTTTTTCAAATAGCAACACATACAAAATTTCAACCGCTGGGAGAGCAACCACTGCTACTTGTCAATTAAAAAAAAAAACAGTTTGTTTAAGAACCACAGAAAGCAAAATTAAATTTTGTAATCACAACACTCACAGCAGCTGAACTTCAGTCTAATCCTTTGTACTGATCTGAATGTTTGTTATGTCTAGAAGAACTTACCTAGGCTTGCTGTGAGGCATTCCAGATCTGCTAAGAATCCTGGTATTTGCTGAAGCTGATCCTGCAGTTCCACCAGACTGCTCCTTTTCTTTTCCCAGTGTGCAGAAAGCATCACAACTTCACTGTCAACCAGCTGCAACAAGCAGGTGTTTAATTGCAAACTTCTGTACCTGTTCATGAGCATCTTGACTAATTTTTTATAATTAATACATTTGGAAGCATAAGGTCAGCACAACAACCCTACAGCACTGCCACTTGTGTACTCCACAAGTAAATAAACAACAGGCTCAAAAAAAATCCCCTGTAGTATGGAATATTTATTTCAAAATGCACTGAACAAAAATATGACAAAATGTTTTTTCTCAATATACTAATCAATGCAGGAAGTATTTAATGGATGTTATTAACTGTAAGCAAGATGTACCAGAAATTTTGGCAGCAGTGTTGCACAATAACAACATCGCAGTGCTGCGATTTTGGGCATATTTATATCAATAGTTTAATGTTTCCAGTCACACCAATTTCATCTTAACATTAAAAATGAAAATTCTGCACATGCAAAGTACTCTAGAAAATAAAGTAAAAGGAATGACATTTAAAAAAAAAAAGTTGCCTTTATAACATTACAGCTCTTCTGCTTTTGTGACAAACTGCAGCAGTGCCAAGTGTTTATGAACACATTTCTACATTACTTAAATTCTTGTTGTTTCATTCTTCTTAACTTTGATTATATAATAAGCTAAGAAAAGGATACACTGCTTCAAAGTCTCACTTATTTTCTATGAAAAATACCAGAATCAAGAGATCTTAGGTAACAAATGTTTCTATTATATATAATTCAGATAACTCAGTTATTGTTTCCCTGCTCCTAATTCCATTATCCATTCTTCCTCTTGCACACAACTACAGCCTGTGGCTGTATCTGCATTCTGAACTCCTCAATTTCTATAGTCTTTATAGGCAGAACTGAAAAAGTCTGAGCAATGGACAAAGGAGCTCTCAAATGTACAATTCTACCCACTTTATATAAATTCTTTTAAAAGAACAACTATCTTTTGCAAATTCCTCCAGCTACCTATCCCTTAAGAAAACATCCTGTTTTACCAGACAAGTTTTGAAAACTTATTCCAAAGCCCAGTGAGAAATGGAGCCCTTTAAAAGACCAAACAGTCTTACTTAAATAAGCCAGGTCTATTTCTGAGACTGGGATACGGTATTTATATCCGGTAAACAGTAAAGCAAACAAAAAAACCCCAAAACAAGCCACCATGAGATGGGGACAAAAACCACAAACATTTCAGCCCTGAGATAAATGAATGCAGGTGAAATTATAATCTTCTAAAAAAACAATTTTGTGCATGAAACTGGTAGTTAACATCTGCCATTTAACATGGTAAGACTGTAAGCTGTAATTGAAGCCTGAAATTTTCACTTTACTCAACATTTATAAATAAGACAGCACAAGTAAGCAGAAATTGGATACTGGACAAGTGGACCTTTAGGTCTTCTACAGCACAGTCAATCTTCTGTGCTTACACAGTTTTTATTCTCCCCTTTTATAAAAAAAGTAAAAAACAACATTCAACAAGCAATGCATACACTGAGTTGTGTGTAAAGCAAACATCTGATTTTAAAGGAAAATGTAAGTCTCTCTGGAAGTTTTTCATTCTCATTTTCCATAACAGCCATAACATGTGTGATTAGTTTATATTAGTTTCATATATATGAAATCTCACACTGTTTTCAAAATTGCAATTTTTAAAGCAAACTGTAGCAAGTATTATAAAATTGGGACAACATCATTTATGAAATTTTCTAGGAAAAACTAACATTATGAGCAGTAAAACATGCCAAACTGGCAAGGAGAACTCTATCTCCCATGCCTGAAGGTTTCCACCAGAATGCAGGGAAAAGCAGGGCCATACCATTAGGCAAGAGAAAGGAGAACATAAGAGACTTTCTTTCTTACTATAAATACACAGTGAGTGATTTATCCATTATAAAAAGATACAGAGAAGTCTCCAAGTGAAGAGATGAGCCAGAAAGGATGCACTCAGCCAAAGTGAAGGTTTCAGACAGCTCAGTCCTGCTCTGCATTGTGGCCACCCAGATTACACTGTCTGCCTCTTAAAGATGGCTTGAAACTGAAAGTCTGGTGCTGAGTAATGCACTGGTAACACTTACTGGAAATTTCCTTCCCCTTCATTCCACAGATAAACCACACAACTTGTCACTTTGCTTCCAGGGCAGGAACAGTGAGTGAAATTAGGAGAAAGCACAAACACCTCCCAAACATTTTCTGTTGGTCAAGGCAATCTTGCTGTCTCCTGTGCACTAGGAGTGGGCAGCAGCGTCAATGCCACAGCCCTGCCCTGATACAAACCACTAAGGTGCCTCAACCCCAAATACATTCTGCACTTTCCCAGCCACCCCCCCATTAAATATCTAGAGCAGTAACATACAACATCATCTTTGCAACTGTTTACATTGCATCGAGTTTTTTGTTATTTCACATTTGCGTTACGTTGTTGTTTACATTACTGTGAGAGTGAAGAAAGCTGTGTGGATGTTTACCTGGGGGCCAAGGTTAACCTTGTAGGTGGGTAGTAAAAGTTTTAGTTTAAAATTATTTACACATTTTAAAATATTTCATGCATGACATTGTTATTTTTTCTTACCTCTCCAGCTTTTGCACAATCTTTGGCTCCTTTATGAAGGGCAGCCCAAGCATCTTCGTATCTGAAGAAGAGACAAATTACTATTTCGTACTGTGCTCTCCTCACAAAGGAATTCATGGATGTCATTGTGCTTATATTTGCAGGTACGACCAGAAATTACAGCTTAAAAAGCTGTGTAATTCTTTCCAGTACTTACTGTTCTGCCAAGACGAACATACAGTGAGAAATAATGTGTTTTAAAGAAAAAGCAATTCATGTTTTTTTTAACCTGCTAACTGACATTTAAAAGCTAAATGGACCAAACAATACTTACAAGACAACTCACAACCTTAAGCATCACTTGGAACTCAGTTAAGTAAATTTTTAAAAATAACAAGACTGTAATCATACATGTACCACATCCAATTAAAAAAAAAAAAAGAAATAGTATCAAATATGTCTAAGTTATGAAACCACAGACTAGGACTCAGCGCTGGCCTCCTTCACCTCTCTGCATTAGTCATCTTTTAAATGCAACTTTTCCTCCAGAACTTCAGTTTCATTAACATGACAACACTTCTGGATTGGGCAAGCTTTAAACACATTTATCATTTGGTAACCACTCCCACACTACTAACTGCAAAACAACCAAAAACCTAGTGGCAATACTTTGATTTTCCTCTCTAATTTCTTTCTTAAGAAATTAGATTTTTAAAATCTAATGTAGGAAACAAACACTAATAAAGAAAAGGAAGGTCATACCTGCTTAGTAATTCCAGTCCAGCAGAAAACTCTGGCAAACACTGAACAGTTCTATAAAACAAATTGCAAATGTACAAAATTGTTAAAGAAAAGAAGGCTGCTATAAAAAATGTGTGCACACACATCTGACAGATATGCTAAGCACAGAAATGTTTCCTCCTGCTCCTACTTTCACAAACACTTTGCCAATTTTGGTTTAAAATGCATTACATGGTGTATCTTACAAGAATATTCCAAAGCTAGGATTGCTTTTTTCCCTTGTTGTTTTATGATAGCCTATTCTTAATTCTTTTCAACCATGTCCATTAAAAACAAGTTCTATTGAATAATTTCTAAGTACAGTTAACAAAGATATAGGATGAGCATAATTTTAACCTAAAAAGGGGCACAGAAACATTCTGAAAAAGAAGACTACTACACAAGTTCATGTCCCTCAAGACAGATATTCCACTTAATATATCCGACACCAAAAATAAATACTAAGCTAAGGAACCTTTGCCAGTTTAATGCTCTAATGATTTCCTATTTGATGCATACACTTCCATTAATAACAGCTTGAAGTATAAAGACATCTTACTATAAGTTATAGAAAATTAACAATACAATACTTCTAAGGATGTGAAGATCTTAATGTCATCCAAAATCTGTCTCTTGGAAGATCACACCAATAGACTGTTTTGCATTATCATTCAAACAATTTGAATGGGGAAAAAAACAAAAAAAATCCCCAAAACAAACTACCATAAGTTAAAGCTTCTTGTCCTTAAGCAAGGGAAAAGTGACAGAATCAGTGAGGTGGAAAGGGACCTCAGGAAGTTCCTACTGCACTCCCCTGTTGAAACCAGCTATGAGATCAAAGCAGCTTTCTCAGGAAGCTTTTCTCAGCTTTTTCTGTCTGATCTTCTCTTGTTCCATCGTATTCCTATCACCTTTTGAGTTCCCACCACACACCAGTTTCCTCAATAACCAGTTCACATGCAATGGCATGCTGCTGCTAGGTCTCCCAGAAGTCACCTAGGCTGAAGAGCTGCCCATCTCAGCTTTTCCTCATACACAGAGCTCCTGCCCCAGCCATTCTGGTGGCCCTCCACTAAACTGCCCCAGAATGTTAACACCTTTCTCAAACTGGGGACCAGACTGGACAGGGTAGTTAGTGCTCTGAGGTGTGCTGAATGCAGGGGACAATCACATTCCTCAATCCCACTGTCGGGGTGTTGTTTGCAGCCCCATTAGCTGTGGGACATCCCTGCTGCAAGGCATGTCCCCTGGCTCTCATTCAGCCTGCTGTCTGCCAAGAACTCCAAGGTCTTTTTAGCAAAGTTACTTCCCAGATAGTCTGTCTGCACCAGCCTGCATTGTTGCAGGGGATGCTTTCTTCCCAGGGAAGAAATGGAATTTGTACCTCTTGATTTTCATGAGATACCTCTGGGCACATATGGTCCTATGGGCTTTTATGGATTGAGCATCTTCAATCACTACTGGTCAGGCTCCTCGACCCCTTTCACATTTCAGATGTTTTATTTTTAGCACTTGGCTTGTTTGTAAACTAATTTGTGTCTACATAGTATGTAGACACAAATAGTACTTGTGTCTTACAGATACTATTTGTAAGAACATGCTTTACACTAAAGCATATCTGATTTTAAGAAGTAACTCTCACAGATGTCATTTACAGACAACAAGTAGTCTTTCACTGCAGCTTACACAGGTTGAAAAAATGAGAACTAAAATGCAGAGGACTAAAAAAAAACCCCAAATCAATTAAAAGAAAACCAAATCAGCACAATTATCAAAGCTTCTTGAAACAGAAAACTGAAGTATTTCATTACACACATATCTTCCACAATAAAAAGGCTCCTATTTCTGTTTTTACCCCCAAAAACCTCCCCTGAGTTACAATTTTAGGACAAGAGATTCACAGAGATTGTAAACAATTACATTTCAGTGTACTGCAACCTGAATCTTCTATGAGGTACTACAAAAACACTGCATATTCATTTAATTTAAATAGTAATTTATAAACTGATTGACAGCCATTAGAAATTATTTAGGCCTATCAATGAAGGCTGTATTAAGCAAAGCATTTGCTTTAGTTAAGCTTCTCTGTTGTCAAAATAGTATTTTGTAAAATTATATGCAAATGTTCTTGCAATTGACTCATATATATGAGACACTTCAATTTTTTCCCTAACAGGAATATCTTATATTAATGCTATATATTAAGACATTCAAAAGTACCTTTGCCTACTTTTCTTTGCATCTCTTGATTTGTCACTCAAAGTCTTCAACCTACAAACCAAAACACAAATCCATCAGACATTTACAACATCGAAACCAGAGAATGAATTGCTTGAGCACATAATGTCTTAAATCCAGTCTACTACAATTAATTTTGTTTCAGCTTGTTTCACAAATAAATCAAATTTCCCTTAGTTTTGTGGAGACCCTCATATGAATTTATTTCCACTGACATGGCTGCTAAATCTTGACATTTTTTGTAGAAGCGCATCAGACAATTCAGTACGACAAGTTTAATGGGAATTGTGTATATAAGTCATCTGCTTGTTGATACAATTTCCTTAGCAGGCAGGAACTAAAGACATGCCTAGCAATAACCAATCCAGCCCTGAGGAATACCATTTACAGGAAGGCTCTCATGGCAAGGAAAAGCATGACAGTCACACATACACACGTATAGCCCACCTGCCATAAGCCTGCCAACACAAAACCAGCAGAAGCACAACTTTTCTTCTGCCAGCTTTCAGAACCTCCAGCAGCATCACCACAGTGCACTGCTACTGAGCAGATCTGAGGCTTTTTTCACACACAGTGCATTTCAAACTGACTGCTGTTTTGCTCCTCAAAAGCAAAAAAAACCCTCCAAACCAACCAAACAACCCTCTCTCCCCAACTCTTTCCATTCTTTAGCAGTCAAAATATATACATATATAAAATATACATATTATATATATACATATATATATTTAATATATATATGCATATATATATACACACACACATACATTAGTCAAGTTGACACAGTGCAGTGAGAACCAAGCCTGCTGGCTATTCCCTGATCACCCAGGCAATGGCTATGCTCAATTCCTAGGCCCTTTGTGGTCACAAAAAACTTTTATTGCTCAGGACAGTAAGAAATAAATGACAGAGACACAAGCAAGATGGAAATGAACTATGAGAGCCAAAGATATCCTCCACATCTGACAGAGAGATCTGTAATCCTGAGCGACCCAGGGACTGAGAAACAACCTAATATACAGACAGATATTCAGGCTGCTTTGAGTAGTCAAATCACTCCTCCAGTCTCGATCACTGTTTTCCAGGAACTCAAAGAAACATCAAAGCTCTACAGCACACCAGGTGGAACACAATTTAGAAAAGACATGCTAAGGCAGGTCTCCACTCCCTCTCCGAGAGCTGCTTGTAACAGCCAAGCCAGGTAGCAACAACCACAGCACACTGAGGAAGAGCCCACTGCTGAAGGAAGCTGTGCAATTTGCCCTTCTCCACTGCATCCATTCTGGTTGTTTTTCCTCTGCCTGCAAAAGCTTGCTAATAGGTGAATGGGTCAAAATTTAGATACCTTGCTTACAGGACACGCAGAATTAGACAGCAGACACAAGTGAGCAAGGAAGGAGGCCACAGAAATGGCTGATAACTCTAAACTGCTCTCTTTAAACCACACAACCCAGATTTAAACTTTTTCAGCAATACATCATGTTTCATACTCCTCAGGAAGTGATATTATTGTCTTAGAAGCTCTGGAAAACCTTTCCCCTCGCAATTTCATGAAATTCAACTTGTTCTACTTTGCAAGCATTTATGTGTAGTTAACAAGTTGACCACAAAAAATACTCTCTTTGGGTTTTGAGAATTATACAATTTTAAGCTGAAGTCTCAACATCACAAAATGACTTCTTTTACCACTTTGGTGGGGTGCAGAACAGAGTAATCCAGAACACCAAGAAATTAGGTTGCACGGTCTAGGAAGGAAGAGGGGGCAAACCAGGTCAGCTTGTGTTCCGGATATATGGGAACACTAAAGGAAAAAAAAAGATACCTTCCACAGCCTCTGCCACTGTGGTTCTGAGAAACAGGTTCCCAATGGCAAAAAAAAAAAAAAAAAAGAGAGAGATTACACCACACGTGAAAATACCACTTAAAGACGGACACTGGAAAAAGGGCACATAAATGAAGCTGCCAAAATACAAAGATGGACATTATGAAATCAGGGACTGTTCTCAGAACAAAACATTGCAACACCAGCAAGGAAGCAAAATACATGGAAGTATATGGACTCCACTGCAGCAAATATGGAAAACACAAATACAGAACCACAGAATTAAATGACCATCAGATCTGGCGTGTTATGACCTTTCTATTGTTCTCTTTCACCATGTGAAAAACACCCTTTTCAAAAGAGCCTTACACTGTACTGAGATATCAACTCCTCTGAGAAGCAAAAGAAAAAATCAAACAGAAATAAAGCAATGTTTTTGTCTGTATTTTTAAGGCAGTTTAATATTCAGTTGCTGTTTGCTGAGACAGATAACATGTAAGCAATTTATCTGTTTGACTGGCAGGCTCTTCTGTCAGTTTCTCTTGACCATCACACACCGGTATACAAGCAAGTAATGACAAACTTATATTTTCAGTTATTTCAGATATTTTCAGTTTCTAGGGTACAAAGACATTCTTCACTATATATAAATATTTACCATAGGGGTATTATAAGGCAGTCTTAACGCTGCCAAAGACCACACAGTTTTTAAAAGCAATTGATGACAACACAATACTCCCCTGTGGCTCATCATGAGCCACCAGCTCTGCAGCACAGGCATGACCTTGTCCTGCGGCCACTCGCTGGCTTCCAGCGACACTCACTTGGGCCACCTGCTTGTACTAAAAACAGCATCGACACGGGGCCTAGCCGAATAAACCTGGGGAGACAACGCAGGAAGAATATCTTTATACTTTCTAGTGCAAGCGTGGGGCTGTTCCATCCGCTTATCCTGCGCCCCTTTTCCCCAAGTGACAGTAACTCATCTTCCAAGGAAAGGCGAGTTTCTCCGCACACCAAGCGGCGCCCAGAAATGCTCTTTAAGGGATTACGCTGATCCATGAAACCTTGAAGGTCGGTAACTTCATTAAAAATTCAAGCACGTTAATTGACCTCATTCACATCTTCTTTCACAACCGCGGTCTGTCTGATTGTCTGTCCCTCTCTCTCTGTCCTTCCCCTGACCGCAGCTGCTCCCCGGGCACCGCGGCTCCCCCAGCGCTGCCCGCGGCCCCGCAGGCTCTCCAGCCCGCCATCAGCCCAGCCCAGGCGGGAGCACGGCGGGACTCGGCACCCTGGAGCAGCCTTCCCAGCCCGTCCCCGCACCCAGGAGGGCACCCCGGGTGACAGACCGGCCCCGGCAGCGCCTCCCGGCTGCGCAATCTCCTCCTCTTCCTCCCTCCCTGCGCCAGTCCACGCCTCCCCGGCCCCCGGTCACCTGCTTTCCCCCCCCTGCCCGGCCGGGCTGCGGGACGCGGGCCCCTCTCCCGCTGTCCCCGCCAGCCCCGCGGGGCCGCAGGCCGTACCCACCCGGCGCTCAGATCCTGCTGGACGCTCAGCAGCCGCTCTCGCAGAGTCTCCAGCATCTTCCCGGCCCTTCCCGGCTGCGAAGGCCAGCGCCGGAGGGCGGGGCGCGGGCGGGGCTCGGCTGAGCTCCGGCCCCGGGGCCGCCTCCCCTCAGCCCTCAGCCCGCCCCGTCCCTTCCGCCCCGCCCGGCTCTCGGCGCGTCCTGGCGGGGCTGGGGCTGGGGGCGGGCGGGTTTGCCTGGGAGAGCCGAGCCTCTCGTTCTGCGTGTCCCGTGGTTCGAGCGCTGGGCTGCGCTTAAAGCCCGGCCGGCATCAAGGACAGCGTAAGCAGCGTGCCAATCCCTGAAGTTGCGGCTCTTTATAGGTTATTTTAAAGGAAAGCATATTTACAGGGTATATTTACAGGAAAGCACCTTGGCAGGTTGGGACCCTCACCAGAATGATTTTGACTTCAGCGATGGTAGCGCAGGAGTGACCTCCTTAGCGATACAAAGTTGATCAAGGGACTGGAGCATCTCTTTTACGAGAAAAGGCTCAGGGGGCTGCGCCTGTTCAGCCTTGAGAAGAGGCAACTGACGGCCATGTAAGTGTCCCACATAAATGTCTGTAAGTGTCCGAAGGAAGGGTGCCAAGAGGATGTAAGCAGGCTCTTGGTAGTGCTCAGCAATAGGACAAGAAGCAACAGGTGGAAACTGATGCCCAGGAAATTCCACCAGAATACGAGGAAGACCTTGACAGTGTGGGTGACCAAGCGCTGGAACAAGTTGCCCAGGGAGGTTGTGGTTTCCCTACTTGGAGATATTCAAGATCCATCAGGGTGCAATCCTGTGCCCTGTGCTCTGGGATGACCCTGCTTGAGCAGGGAGGTTGGGCCGGGTGACCCACTGTGGTCTATTCCAAGCTGACCTGTCCTGTGAACTCAGGGAACCAGGTTCTGTCATAAAATCTTACAAGTACGGAAAGCAAAACCACTGGGTGTCCCTAGGGTGTCCCTAGGGTTGCCAGGTTCTTGGAGTAAGGGATAGATGATAACCTTTCCAAGGCCTTGCAAAGCTGGTGGTTGTTTGTCTATGTGTCCCTCCACTGTTTTCTTTGGAGACAGCTTTGTAGATGCTAGTGATTCTTACAAACAATGACCTAAAAGAAAAAAGGCTGTTCTTACAAATAGTAAATAGTCCTGTGAAAAGTTTAAATTAAATTTCTAGGTACTGTCTGCTCAAATAATAACTGTTAGGCATCATTCAGCAAATCTTCAGACAGTTTAAGTGGAGTCAAGACCTTTTCAGAACAATTGGCCAGTCTTCCTGGATGGCTATAATTACAGTTCCAGTAACCAGAAGACAGTCTCACACCATGTGCATCTTCACTTAATGTTTGAATGACATGGACGTAGGATTTAGGTGGATCCAGGAAATCTTAGACTTCCATTTAATTGAGACTTCAACTTTTAGAAAAAGCTGAGATTTCAAATTCAAAACATTTTATTTTCTAACCAATTCAATTTTGGTTGAAAATTCTAAAAATATGAAGAGAAGAGCCCTGAACTAATTTCTTACAAGGAGAATATATGCAGAGGGCCACTGCTGGATGTGTTATTTGATACTACAGAAGTATATTCAGAAGTGGTTGGAGGTACTTTGGATCAACTAGAAAATTGACACCATAATCCCAACACAGCTTGGGATATTGGGCTTTCAGAAGAGTATATCACCTGTAAATTGTTTCTACTTTGGCTTATGGAAAAAAAAGTATTGCTCAGTGGCAGAAATTCAAATTAAAAGTGAAATGCCTGCTAAAAGAAAAATGGTTGGGTTGATATTCCAAACATTGAAATTGATGCAGCTTGCCTTATCTTGAGGTCAAAAAAGACAGCTTTCATGGCAGACTGCATATAACGTTCTGTAAAAAAAAATGTATGACATTTAGAAGGTGTTTTTCTCATGCTTGACCTAACAACAATATCTGAAAATAGAGACTTCCCACTTGCCTGCACAGTTAATTCTTCAGACAAGGAGGGGAAGGCCTTGAATCAAGTGTTTTCTGATGTATTCACAGACACACATTGCAAATGCTGACAAAAGCTGTGCAATCTGGCCTTATGTAATATATGATGTTACAGGAATTGAAGTGTTCAGAAGACAAGGGAGGGGTTTTAACCTTTAATTTTCAGCTTTCCTTTGCGAAATCATATTAATTTCTTCAGTGTTGCATATTTTCAATTTTCTTGTGGATGATTTTTGTCAGTGGTGGCCCTGCTAATTCACAGTGAATAAGCACTTTTAGACTCCATTGCTACTTTTACAGTTAGAAAAACTATTCATAAACTGTTGTACAGTTTTGTTTCACATGTCTGTGTAGGACTTGGGAGAAGAAATGTGTTGAGATAGTATTAACAGTCACTAATTCTAGAAGTACAAGACTGGAAGAAACTTCTAAAAGCACATCCCCTGCTCAAGGGTTGTGATGAATTATAAATACACTGTGTAAACTTTGTTTAACTGGTTCTTGGGAATTTAAAATTAAGGAGATTCTGCAAGCTCCTTATCAGCTCACATGTTTAGCTTGATCTTTTTTGTTTCTAGAGTGAATAGGCCTGGTTTCTTTTTTTTCCCTTGTAGTCATTTTCCAAACTTCTTAATGTGTTGGTCTGATCTGGAGAGTCCCCTGTTTGTCCAGAAAGTGCAGAGCTATAGCATTTCCATCACTAAAGCTGAATTACATGGCTTCATTTCAAACACAAGTTACATGTTTATACTAATTTATTAATATTTATGTACATTAGGAATTAATTTAACAAACAGCTCTGAGACAGATCCTTCAGGTGTTAATTCAGCACAGTGCCACCTAAAATTCTGCCAGGGGCTTTGGGTCAAGTTTTCTAGAGATAAAATTAATGCTAAATAAATTTTTAGTATCAATGACCTATTCTGCTCATTTAGTTATTAAGTAGTTCAGGTCTGGTTATTTGATATTAATTCTGACCTGAATTTGAGCTAGTACTTCCCAGTTTATTCTTCTGCTTCTCTGATAAAAACACATCTAGTATCTTCTGCAAATTTGCTGTGACTGGCTATTACAGTACAGCAAATGCATAGGCATTCTGTGCTTTGCACATCTATAAAGAACATCTATAAAGTGATATGAGTCAGTAGCAATAAATTTATAGAGCAAAACACGGAAATGTATTTGACTGTATAACCCTGGTGTCAAATGAAGATTTCTTTTCTTTTCTAGATCAGCCTCCCTTAGAGGCATAAATTAGGCTACATTTCTGTAATAGATTTTGCAGCACAAAGTCATCCCTAGTCATGCCTTTCCCCAATTCCACCTTTTCCTCGGCTTTAGTGACCTCCATTTAGGTTGACTTTAGATTAAGACTGTTCTGAAAGAGCGATACTGTAGACACCAGGCTCATGCCTGTTAAGCTTTTCGGTGAAAATGATTTAAAATACTTTCCCATTATGCTGATATTAAGTGAAATTTGTTTAGGTATCTATCTGGTTTATGTCTTGATCTCTTCTTTTGAGTGCATTTAGCTTGATAGCCTCCAATATGACATTCTCAAACTGACTAGAAATAGTGAACAAAACTCTCAGCCTTTCAGAATCTCTCAGGTTTGTAGAAGTAATTTTTGTCCTCCTTAGGTCTTGCTGATAGTATGGTTTAATGATCTTTATATTTTGGGTGCAAATTTAAGACTTTTTGGTTTCAATAATCTGTAGAACATGATTAAAACTTGACTAGTATATATTATAGCTCTGCAATTCTATACATATTTTGTTTACCTAGCTGGATCTGTACTGATCTAAAGCTTAAATATTGTTAGAAATACCTGAGACAAATTTTAATTCTAAAAAACTGCTACTACCATTGTAATTGATAAAGACTTTAATGAAAGTGTATAAAGATCTGATTCAACATTTCTTGCAGGAATTCCATTGCATGCTGAAAAGAAAGGTTGGCATCTAAAAAAAGTTTTATATGCCCAAAACTTCAGAAGGATACAATCAGTGGAAACTAAATTTAAGCATTACATCCTAAGAACTATCTGTCATAGTCTCACTTATCCTGAGGCCTCATCACCATTTCTAGCAGCTTCTAAGAGCTTCCTTTTCCAAATTAACCTTTATAGCTTTCTAATAAGAGTTAATTTCTGCTCTTACCTGTACTTACTCTTGAGGTTTAGCTATATAATGGTCTCTGCAGCTGACACAAAGGTTTTTGTCATATTAATAGAGAATTTTTTTTTTTATCTCAATAAAGGAAGTTGTGAGGGAGGGGTGGGTTTTTTTTTGTTAGTGTGGTTGATATTTGAATTTTTTTCTCCCATGTAACTAGCAGAAGAAGAAATGGACAATAATAATTCTCAATCCTAAAGAGAACTGTAAGAATAATTTCTGTATATCAAGTAAAAATATTCTTAATTCAGTTCACACGAGAACAGGTAAGGGACTTAATCTCCAGGTTAATATAGGTTCAAAGTCCTGGTTTAGATGTTAACTTTTTAATGCACTATCTTTTTTACAGCATGAAAGTGAATTATGATTCTCAAATAATAATCAAATCATGTCTTGCTTCAGTTTCACTGTTTCTATGAAAAAGACTAGAGGGAGAGGCACATCATAGCAATAGATAAAAATAATGGTGAAATTCCTTGGTCCTCCCCTCCCACCCTCCTTACATGGTATCTAGTGAATGAAGACATGATGAATTCCCACCTTTCTGAACTGTTGGGAAAAACTGGGGATGGAGGGAATCAGGGGCTAAGCAGAGTTATGAAGCTAAACAGGCATTAGGATCCTCCTTCTGCTGGACCTTAATTGCTGTTGGGGGGAGGACAAGAGCACATACCTTGGGACAGACAGACAGACTCCAAGGGCAGCCAACAGTTACACCTGACTGGATGAGGTGGTAAAACATGTCCTGATGTGATGGCAGTGACCATCTCAACGTGGCTGATGTAACTCTCCTAATTCAGTGGGACAACTTTGTGTTTTCTTAATCTTCAGTCACAGCTGTCTGCAGTCATGAAGATGTTGATAAAAATTTTGCTGTCACCACTGAAGCTGGCAGACTTTTTTCCTGAAAACTAGAAAGCAGGATATGGGCTCCTGTTACCTTTCTCCTCATCTTCTTTTCTGCCTTCACTTTATTCCTAGTATTTAGTATTTTTACTGCATGAGATTGTGAGCTCTAGGTGTTTCTCCACCAGTGAGCTTGCAAATGGAAGTTGGGTCTGAAACTGTAATTTCTACTGTTACTGAAGTTTTCTGTCATTTTTATGTGCTTTTGCTTTGGAAGTATTGGATAGGTCAGCAGTGGTGCCAGATTACTTCAGTTCCTTTTGTCTCTTCCTGAATCAGTTGACTTTGACTTTTGTGTAAAAGACCACAAAGCAGGATTTTCTTCTATCAAAAGAACGACTAATAGGAAGGCTGCCTCAAAAGCGAGGACTTTATTTAAAACTTTATAATTTAGATTCTCTCAGTATCTTGAAACTTCTGTATGACTAAGTTATTTAAATTTAATAATAACAGCAGCTTCCAAAAAGAAAGTGAGGATCATAACTCCTGCTGGTGAATG